ACACTGTACATACAATACAATAAACCACTCCTAAATTACTGTATTCTATGTTGGCACCTCAGGACATAAAGTTGTTACAGTGAAGAATAAATTATAACTTTATGAGCTTGTATCTGAAAGATAAGAGAGTTGCTAAATAAAAGCTTGCTTCTGTGAAACGTTCAGCTCAGACTTGGACTCGGGGTCAAACAGATACGTAATTATAATAGTTCAGTACATCAAGCAGAAATTTGAAGCGAATCTGTCTCCAGAGAGATCCATCAATCTGTTCTACTGTCTGAATGAACTGAACGACCAAACTCTGGTGAAAGACATTCAGACCCACCTTAGCAAAGGAAGCCTCTCATCTGCTGATCTTTCACCTGCCCAGTGGTCTGCTTTGGTCTTTGTGTTGTTGACATCAGAGGAGGAGCTGCAGGAGTTTGAGCTTCAGAAATTCAAGAAATCAGACGAGTGTCTCATTAGATTATCAGCAGTCATCAAAACCTCCAAAAGAGCTCTGTAAGTTATTTCATATATTTTGTTCATATGTTTCATATGTTAAAATTGCATTTATCTACACTGATACATAGCAGGTTTGGACCCCCCTGGGGTGTATTCCAGAAAGCACGGTTAATTTACCATCTGTTATTCCCCGAACTTTTTTTTGATTAACCCCAAACCTTGCTTACTCGTTTCCAAAAACGCGTCCGGGAGTAAGTTCATTCAACACAGAGTATGTTCCTGATTTAAGACTCAACATATTCTCAACCGAGCGACGAATCGACGTGTCGCTATGGAAACAGACGCTAATAAAAAGCGCGCCATGCTGTTTCTTCTTCTTTTGTACAATGGTCATTTACATGCTTAGTGCATATCACCACCTAATTGATGGTTGTGCAATCATTTTTCTTTTTTTCCATTTACTTTAATCCTCGAGAATAAGAATATTGTTTGTTTGATGCTAATTATATATTAAGTCACATCAGATATGTATTTTTATTATAGAAATACATTATAGAAAATTCCCGGACCAAAAAAAAAAAAATATATATATATATATATATATATATATATATATATAATATAGTAAATTAAACATTAGTGTTTTATAATGTATATACAGATAACTGATATGCCAATAAAATATAATAACCATATTAGTTAGTTACAATACAGTTATATGTATACATATATATTAGTAGGCTATATACATAACTGTATTGTACTAATATATAATATTGCTGAAGTGAACTAACCCTGGAACATAACCTGGTCCGGAGCAGGTTATCTTCAGAGAGCAAGTTGCTATGGTTACTTACATACCCTGAAAGTAACCTCTGATTTTGGAACTGAAAGCTGAGATTATCTGCTCGCTTATCCTCAAACATACACGGGTATGTCACATAACCTGCTTTTTGGAATACCCCCCTGATCTACCATATACCAACTATAAGTATGTATCTCTTTTAGGGTTAAATCATAACATATTTTCTTTTGCTTTTTTATTATTATTTTTTCTTTAAAAATTGCAGTCCTTTGGAATTACTGTTCAATGCTATTTTATTAGATTTACATGGGTTGTATGTAGAAATTTATCTTTTCAGCAAAACAAGCTGTTTAGTTAGCTGCAGAAGAAGCACATCATGTCATTATAAAACATAGATAACTGATATGCCAATAAAATATAATAACCATATTAGTTAGTTACAATACAGTTATATGTATACATATATATTAGTAGGCTATATACATAACTGTATTGTACTAATATATAATATTGCTGAAGTGAACTAACCCTGGAACATAACCTGGTCCGGAGCAGGTTATCTTCAGAGAGCAAGTTGCTATGGTTACTTACATACCCTGAAAGTAACCTCTGATTTTGGAACTGAAAGCTGAGATTATCTGCTCGCTTATCCTCAAACATACACGGGTATGTCACATAACCTGCTTTTTGGAATACCCCCCTGATCTACCATATACCAACTATAAGTATGTATCTCTTTTAGGGTTAAATCATAACATATTTTCTTTTGCTTTTTTATTATTATTTTTTCTTTAAAAATTGCAGTCCTTTGGAATTACTGTTCAATGCTATTTTATTAGATTTACATGGGTTGTATGTAGAAATTTATCTTTTCAGCAAAACAAGCTGTTTAGTTAGCTGCAGAAGAAGCACATCATGTCATTATAAAACATATTGTTCCATAGTTATTTCTACTCCAATATGCAGTTCAACTTCTTAAACGTCTGCTATAAAGGAGATATACTCTTGCATAACCTCAATGGATAAATTATTAACCTCCAGATTCTCCACCTCAAGATACTCATCAAGATAATAGAGCAGCACTTTTAAATGTTTAACTCATTGCCATTAATGATATAAACCTATTATTCATTTACATATTTTAAGTTTTATTCAAGCATGCTAGTTTGTTTTATCTAGGAAACTTGAATCAATAAATATCTCCTATATATGCGGTATATTTACTGTCAAAATAATTGGTGTAAATTAAATTTTTATATTTAACAAATATATTACATGTATCTAACTCTGTGATTTGATATATTTCTCTTGTAGGCTAAATGATTGTGACTTAACAGACAAAAGCTGTCCAGCTCTGGCTACAGTTCTTGGATCAGATACCAATCTGAAAGAGCTGAATATGAACAATAATAATCTGCAGGATTCAGGAGTGAAGCTGCTCTGCACTGGACTAAAGAATATAAATTGCAAATTAGAGATACTGAGGTAAGTTTTGTGACAATCCCTAGAGTTTGGTTATAATGCAGATCCATCTGTTAACATGGACCTAGCTAATTTGCCAAAGAATTGAGGACAGAACTGCTTCAGCTCAGTGAAATTTGTTGGCTTTAATTCCAGCATGAACTCTACATTTAAGGTCCTACCACAGCATTTCAATGTGGTTTAAGAGTGGACTCAAAACTTTAATTAACTTGTTTTTCAATCATTTTGAGGTTGTTTGTATGTTGTGGATCATTTAGATTAAAGACTTTCACACCTTTTGAGTTTTAGATAATTGAAACCTTAAAGGGGTCATGTACTGCGTTTTTTTAATTATTTTATAATGTTCTCTGTGATGCACCTATAATGTTAGCATATAATTTAGATTAGGCTATTTTGTATCTGGGTTTTGACCCTCTCTGCAGAACAGTCTGTTTTTATAGATGAGGCACATTCAAGATGCTGAAGTGAACGCCCACTGCTATGATTGGCTAACAGTTTTGCATATTAATACAATACAATATTTATTTGTAAAGCACATTTAAAAACAACCAAAGTTGACCAAAGTGCTGTACAGAATAGAATAAAAATTCTGAAATAAAATGAAAAAAACAGGAATATCAAATTTAAAATAAAACAACAACAAAACAATTAAACCAATGATCAAGGGGTATTGAAAGCTAGAGAGAATAGATATGTCTTTAGAGCAGACTTAAAAGCAGAAATAGAGGGGGCTAATCTAATATGAAGAGGTAGACTGTTCCAGAGTTTCGGACCTGCAGTTGCAAAATCTCGATCACCTCATTTAAATCTAGATCAAGGCACGATGAGTAGACAGAAATCACTGGATCTCAATGTGTACGGATGGAGCAGCTCATCAGGTACTGAGGGGACAAATTATTGAGGGCTTTATAAACAAATAACATAATTTTAAAAGCAATTCAATATTTTATAGGTCTGCAGTGCAGATAAAATAAGAGTTACTGGCTCATACTTGCAGGTGCCAGAGAGTAGTCTAGCAGCTGTTTTGCACTAGCTGTAGAAGAGAGAGGGAAGACTGAGAAACACCGTAATAAAGTGAATATCAATAGTCTAAATGAGTTGTTACAAAAGCATGGACCACCATTTGGATGTTACTCTGTGATAAGAAAGGGTTCACTTCAGAAAGTTGACGGGATGAAAAAAGCATGATTTTACAACAGCACTGATCTGTTTGTCAAATTTTAAGTTATGATAAAACAGAACGTTCAGATTTCTTGCACATTGAGTTACATATGGGGCCAGAGAGCCACAGTCAACATCTAATACACAATTTTCCTTATTAAATTCCTTAAAAATAATTATTTCAGTTTTATTTTCATTTAAGTTAAAAAAAAAATACTTGAGAGCCAAAGCTTAAGTTCTTCTAAACAGGCCAACAGTGGCTGTAAGCCATTTTTATCATTGTGCTTTAAAGGAAAATAGATCTGAGTATCATCAGCATATAGATGAAAGGATACTTTATATTTGTTAAAAATGGAAGCCAGAGGAAACATGTACAGGGTGAACAATATCGGCCCGAGGATTGATCCCTGTGGAACTCCACAATTAAGAGGTATACAAGAGGAGGTTTGATGACCAATGCGAACACTAAAACATCTGTTGGTCAGATAAGAACGGAACCACTTGTAAAACTGTGCCAAGAAGACCCACAGATGTCTCCAAACGTGCCAACAGGACCTCATGGTCAACCAAATCAAAGGCAGCACTCAGATCTAATAAAACTAAAGCCATGGATTTCCAAGAATCAATTTCTCTAAAAATATCACTTGAGACTCTTAAAAGGGCAGATTCAGTACTGTGTAAAACTTTGAAGCTAGATTGAAACATGTCATGAACAGAATTAACAGCCAAATAAGATTGTAATTGAGTCAATACAACTTTCTCAATGATCTTTGAGATAAAGGGTAGATTAGAAATAGGACGACAAATTAGAAAGAGAAGAAGGATCCTGGTTTGGTTTTTTAAGATGTGGCATCACCACAGCACATTTAAGACTGTTAGGGAAGGAACCAGTAGACAAACATTTGTTAATAACAAATAACTGTGGACTGTGTCCATGATTTGCCTAAGGAAAAGAGATGGAATAATATCCTGAGGACAGTTAGTTGGTTTTAGGTGACCAACAGTTTCATTCCATGAGGTGAAATCAATAGGTTCAAACTCAGACCAGGTAGAAGAACATAATGGAACATCATGCAAAATGTATATTAAGTTAGACAGCTGGGATCTTAATGTTGTGATCTTCTCAACAAAAAACGTAAGTATTTTTTACTTAACTTAAGTATTTTTCTTACTATGTGTTTCCAGATCCCTACTATCACCACCACTCGCAAACCATGCATCACACACTGTAGGCAGTGCAATCCTAACAACCTGCGCACTTTGCCTATGTCTACTAATACACTACTTTCTTTTTCTATTGGTCTCTGGAATTGCCAGTCTGCTGTAAACAAAGCAGATTTTATTACTTCTGTTACAAGTCATTAAATACTAAACCTCATGGCCCTGACAGAGACGTGGATCAAACCAGAGGACAATGCTACACCTGCAGCACTCTCCAATAATTTCTCTTTTTCCCACTCTAACCCCCGTCTGACTGGAAGAGGTGAAGGTACTGGTTTGCTTATCTCTAATGATTGGAAATGTAATCCTTTACCATCTCTGAGTATCAACAGCTCCTTTGAATCACATTCAGCCACTATTACCCACCCTCTTAAAATCCATTTTATAGTTGTTTATCGACCCCCAGGACCATTAGGTAACTTCGTGGAAGAATTAGATGTGCTGCTCTCAAACTTTCCTGAGGATGGTACTCCCCTAGTTATGCTGGGAGACTTCAACATCCACCTAGATAAACCTCAGGCTGCAGACTTCCACACTCTGCTTGCTTCATTTGATCTCAAGCGACTATTAACTACGGCTACTCACAAATCAGGCAACCAACTGGACCTTATTTACACACGACACTGCTCCACTGATCATGTGCTGGTTACTCCACTGCACACCTCGGATCACTTCCTCCTCACTCTTAACCTCAACATGGTTCCTGACACAACACATACCCCTACACATGTCACTTTTTGACGTAACCTACGCTCACTCTCACCCTCCCGGCTATCTTCTATGGTTTCATCTTTGCTTCATTCTCCTGAACAGTTATCATCTCTTGATGTTAACCATGCTACTGATAGTTTCTGCTCCACTCTTACGTCTTGTTTAGACACTGTCTGCCCCTTGTCTTCCAG